ATTGTGCCACTGAACTCCAACCTAGACAAAAGAGAGAGACTCCAAAAAAAAAAAAAAAAAAAAAAAAGGAATGAAAGGCATCCAAACTGGAAAGGAAAACTATCTCTGTTCACAGATGACACGTTCCCATATGTAGAAAACCCTGCCAGGTGCGGTGGTTCATGCCTGTAATCCCAGAACTTTGGGAGGCCGAAGAGGGAAGACTGCTTGAGCCCAGGAGTTCGAGACCAGCCTGGGCAATACGGCAAAATCCCATCTCTACAAAAAATTAGGCAGACATGGTGAAGTGCACCTGTAATCCCAGCTGCTTAGGAGACTGAGGTGGGAGGATCACCTGAGCCCAGGAATCAAGACTGCAGTAAGCAAGATTGCAACACTGCACTCTAGCCTGGGTGACAGAATGAGACCCTGTCTCAAGTGCAGGGCTTGGCACGGTAGCTTACGCCTGTAATCCCAGCACTTTGGAAGGCCTGGAGGTCAGGAAGTGACCTCCTGAGGTCAGGAAGTTCGAGACCAGCCTGACCAACATGGTGAAACTTCATCTCTACTAAAAATACAAAAAAATTAGCTGGGCGTGGTGGCACACGTCTGTAAATCCAGCTACATGGGAGGCTGAGGCAGGAGAATCGCCTAAACCTGGGAGGCAGAGGTTGCAGTTAGCCGAGATTACGCCGCTGCACTTAGCCTGGGCGACAGAGTGTGAGACTGTCTCGGCCAGGCACGGTGGCTCAAGCCTGTCATTCTACCACTTTGGGAGGCCAACGTGGGTGAATCACGAGGTCAGGAGATTGAGACCAGTCTGGCCAGCACGGTGAAACCCTGTCTCTACCAAAAATACAAAAATTAGCTGGGAGTGGTGGTGCACTCCTATAGTCCCAGCTACTCAGGAGGCTGAGGCAGGAGAATAGTTTGAACCCAGGAGGCTGAGGCTGATGTGAGGCAAGATCGCACCACTGTACTCCAGAGCGAATTGGCCGGCCAGCTGAGGTGGCTAACGCCTGTAATCCCAGCACTTTGGGAGGCGAAACAGGCGTTATCACCTGAGGTCAGAAGTTCAAGATCAGCCTGGCCAACATGGTGAAACTCCAACTCTATGAAAAATAAAAAACTTAGCTGGGCATGCTGGCAGGTGCCTGTAATCCCAGCTACTTGGGCAGCTGAAGCCCCAGAATCACTTGAACCTGGAGGCAGAGTTTGCAATGAGCCAAGATTGAGTCATTGCACTCCAGCCTGAGTGACAGAGCAAGGCCCTGTCTAAAAAAAAAAAAAAAAAAAAGAAGAAAAAAAGAAAAGAAAAAGTTTACTCTATCACTTTTCAGTTGTGTTTCTACACACTAACAATAAACAATCCAAAAAAGAAATTGAGAAAACAATTCCATTTCCAATAGCATCAAAAGAATAAAATACTGGCCGGGCATGGTGGCTCACGCCTGTAATACCAGCACTTTGGGAGGCCAAGGCAGGCAGATCACAAGGTCAGGAGTTCAAGACCAGCCTGGTCAACAGGTGAAATCCTGTCTCTACCATAAATACAAAAATTAGCTGGGCATGGTGGCACATGCCTGTAATTCCAGCTACTCAGGAGGCTATGGCAGGAGAATTGCTTGAACCA